CTGTTTACACCCTTATTTTCCACTTTCCAGTAGGAGATTACCCGGTCGATTTCAATGGAAAGGTACTACGACATTCCAGTGGAAAGTCTTGGGACACATTGTAGCCAAGGAAACAAGCAGTTACATGCAAAGTCATGGGACACATGGAAGCTTAGGAAGCAAGTGGTTACATGCAAGCTACCATTACTAAATTCAATAAATAGGGCATGATGTTGTAACTTAGAAAGCTTGCTCAACGCCAAAAAAAAAAGCATTTCAATACAACTTTACTTTTCATTGCAATGCACTTTCAATATGATTAGTTTCAGTCCTGCACTTTACTTTTCATTAGATAATTTTAAAGTTCTTCCTAGCCAATTAACTTTCCCGAAGTCCTTTATCAAAGGCAAAACGAACCCTGAGGTGTTCATCCCAGACCTCAACACAATCGCTTGGTCCTGCAGTCTTCCTTTTGGAATATTGTTTGGATCTCTCTTTGGAACTACTACAGTTCCTGGCATGCCTATCCGGTTCCATCGGAATTAGCACCAGCTTTTTTCAGGCCAAACATAGTGGCACACCCAGTGGGACCATCGAGAAAAGATATTTCTAATGATGTATATGAGCTTTGTTCATAAGGAGTACAACCAAAGGAGGGCCGAAGAACGTGAAGTGTACTTCCTAAAGATAGCACACGAACGTGAAAAGTGCTACCAACGTGAACAATATTTCCGAGCTATGTCGCAGGTACAGACAGTGCAGATGCCATATGCACAATCGATGTCTTTTCTGGTGGAATAGCATGTGCAGAATCCTGTGGTAATTCCTCAACAGGTTTGTCATGATGTTTCTACTAACAATTGGCATCGCGTTGGGTCTTCTCAGGGTACGGCTCAGGTTGGTCAATTAGGTAATCAGCCGTACTTTCCACCCAATATTACTTAATAATCAATCGTTCCGATGAACAGGCCAAGTACGTTTGTTGAGGGGAGTCCTTATTATCAGCCTGTGCATTCCATGCCATAGGTGCAGATAGTGCAGGTGCCACCTGCACATCACGGTAAATCTGTTTAAGATTCTGCCGAAATTGAAATTGAACAGGCTATTGGACTTCCTGAAGAAAGTTCATGTGCCGTTTTAGAAGAAATTCAACTAGAAGCTAATACGTTTCAGGCATGGCTCCACTAAGAGATAGCTGATGTATGTGAAGAGCGCCACCAAACCTACCGGAGGATGGTCGAAGAACGTGAGCAATTTTTTCGAGAATTCAAGGAAAAATGGAAGAGGCCCCAACAACATGTACAAACCCTTCCACAAGCTCAGCAACCACCACCACCTATGGTGTCGATTCCACCAGTAGTGAAGTAGATTCCACTAGCAGTGAAGTCAATTCCACTAACAATGAAGTCGATTCTGCCAGTAGTGAAGTCGATTCCACCACCACTTCCATCGCAGATGCAAGTTCCACCTAAGGTGCAGAACCCTTCAGCAACAGTGAAGTTGATTCCACCAACAGTAGCTCAACCACTTCCATCGCAGGTGTAGGTTCCACTTAAGGTGCAGAACCCTCCACCAGTAGCAGTCCAAAAAGTTCAATTTCACATCCAACAGAATGTTCCACTTTCGAACATTCAGCAGCCTACAAGCACACCACCAAGCCCATTTATGGCCTTTCCAATGGCATTCGAAATTGAACGTCCTCCAAGGAAACCTCCTAATTAAGGAGTAAATCTAATCCACCGGAGTATTCCTTTGGTAGACCTAAACCCTATTCCAGTGGTGTTTGGGGGGCATCCAATGGCCAACTTACCCAAAGGTTGGCCAGAAAATACAAGCCAACTTGCTGACTTCTCCCAGCAAGACTGTGGCTTGGTCATGAGGAAGGTCGACAAGACTTTCCATAGGAAGCCGTTATCACTTCTTTCATTAGAAGAAGATTTTCCACAGCAAGATTTTCCTTCGAAAACGACATATGCTTCTTAATCGTTGTATATTCTTCCACATAAAGAATATAACGGTCATAGTATTTTTCTTTCAATTTTGGAAAAAAATGCTATTACTTTATTTGTCCCAAATTCACATCTTGTGATTTTTAGGGGGAAAAACTTGGCCAATCAACTATGTATTTGGCCTGAAGATGTACAAATTCGTCCTCCTCGTAAACCTCTAGACCTCGAGGGGCAACGAAATTGGACATGAGGCTTCAAATCTTCGTTTTAGTTAAATAAAGCTGCTTAAAGTTTTCGGCCCAATGGTACATTTCGGCTGAAAAGTTTTAGTTGTTCAATTCCTTAACAATAGGAATATCACATGGCAAATTCTCACTCATATCTAAAATTTGATATGTTTTATAATTCTTCAAAGAATATCAGGCACATCAAATTTGGGGGGCAATGTTTACACCCTTATTTTCCACTTTCCAATAGGAGATTACCCGGTCAATTTTAATGGAAATGTACTACGACATTCGAGTGGAAAGTCTTGGGACACATGGCAGCCAAGGAAACAAGCGGTTACAAGCAGTGACATGCAAAGTCATGGGACACATGGAAGCTTAGGAAGCAAGTGGTTACATGCAAGCTATCATTACTAAATTCTATAAATAGGGCATGATGTTGTAACTTAGAAAGCCTGCTCAACGCCAAACAAAGCATTTCAATACAACTTTACTTTTCATTGCAATGCACTTTCAATATGATTAGTTTCAGTCCTGCACTTTACTTTTCATTATATAATTTTAAAGTTCTTCTTTATCAAAGGCAAAAAGAACTCTGAGGTGTTCATTTCAGACCTCAACACAATCGCCTGGTCCCACAGTCTTCTTTCTGGAATATTGTTTGGCTCTCTCTTTGAAATTACTGCAGTTCTTGGCACGCCCATCCGGTTCCATCGGAATCGGCACCAGCTTTTTTCATGCCAAACAATAACTATTAGTGACTCAAAGTCTAGATGGTTGATTGATGTGAGTCCCAGCATTTGTGTCACTGTTTTGCTTATTTTTTTGTTTTCATTTGTTTTTCTTTAGCTGTTAGCATTCACATTAAGTACATTTCTCAATGCTGGTGGCTTATCAGGCAGTTGATATCAGGAGGGATAATTTAGAGGCCGATACTTCGTCTTATCACTGCGAGTAAGTTCTGTGGCTAAGGTTTGATTTGCTTTATTATTATGTATTCGGTTACGTTCGTCTTATCACTGCGAGTAAGTTCTGTGCCTGCTAGTGATGCGGAGGGCGGCACGCGAGAGGATGACTGGCAACTCCTTTGAATTGGTTCTAGTTTGGGTTTGGAAGCTTGTACATAATATGGCCAATATGTCCTTTTATCATTTGTATATCGTCTTTCGTCAGCACGACCACAATATCAACTGACTTCTGCATTTAGTTCATTGATAAGTTAGATTTGACACGTAGAAAAATCTTCATCAAGCTTCTTTCTTTTTCCGTCCTGTCAATGTTGAGTTGATCAAATTTGCGTGGTGTACGGTACTGCCGCTACCCATTTTGAATTCAGTGATTTATATACCAATTGAGTGTAGATTATTTGCATTTGACAGTGCTGTGGTATGTGCTTGTGCGTATTTTTTATTTATTATTATTATCTTAAATTATGTTTTCAAGAACTTTGAACGTCTAACCCCTTTGTTCAAAGATTTTATTTTATTTTTAATGTTTTTTGGGTGGCAAGGAATTCCACGCCCAATTGCCCCGTAGTGGCCTGAACTCTCTCATCTTCTACTTTGTACTGTAGATGAGATCTTAAAGTGGTGAGGCAGAGGAAGTTGTGTTTATACATTATATATATTTTCGAACAGAGATTTTCCATCAAGCCATTGTACAGTTGTTTATGGCATGTTAAAACTCTTGAGGTTTTAACCATTATTTGACCCTTATTTTTTTTTTTGCCCACTCCCAAGGCACCAAACTGGGAATACAGTAGCCGGCCCTACAGTTTCAGCACCAGGTTAGTTGAGGGTGATAAGGGAGACGACAAGGTTCGATCACTGGAATTGCTTCAAAAGAAAATACAATTTTTAAATGCTCACGTTGAAGATGATGAGACGTTTATGTTGGATGAAAATGAAATAAATAAGTTAGAAAGTCCTTAGTTTGGACATGCTTACTCGAGAGTCTTTTAGTGGGGTGCACACGGTTTCGGTTCTTATGGTTCCTGGCGGAACCAGAACCTATTCTAACGGTTCCTAGAAATTGGAATTGGAATCGTTGCGATATGGAACCGAACTGAACCGGTTTAGTTCCAGTTTCGTGTAATTTTATTTTATTTTATTTTTATTTTTTTTTCAAATTTATGACTCTAAACTCATTCGTAGTGCATTTTGATATATAATATTGTACATGAGAATATTTTTTTATTATATATCTCTTTGTATGTATCAATAGGCATATACGTATATATATATTAGTAATTATATAATTAAAACCATAATATTTATAATTACTATACGGTTTCATTCCAGAGTCTGGAATTGGAACCAGAACCGTTCTCAACGGTTCTTAAAAATTGGAATCAAAACTGAAATCGAAGCACTAATTCCAATCCAGCTCGGTTCTACTGATTCTTTGTGCACCCTTAAGGAAGGGTCCTGAACTCTCCTTATTAACATTTAAATTGAGAGATTTATTTCAAAATTTGTTTGACTTTTCACATATTTCAAAATTTGTTCTCAATCTAGTGATTCATAAATAGAGTTTTTTGCTTCCTCCCCCCCCCCCCCTCCCCCGGCGGCGCGCGCCATACATTTCAAATATGGCATATCTTGAATTAAAATTCTCTCCACTAACAATTCCAATTTTACCTATTTGTATTCGTTCGTTTGTAAAATTTTACCATTATTGGTGAAAGTTGTAAGTGAAAGTTGTAACATTTTACCCTTATGATGGTGTGAGTCACCATTGAAAGTGGTGCAAGTCACGAATCCAGAGAACAGCAAAAACTCGGTACTGGAGAGGATTCATTGCCGGTGTATTTGTAGGTTTTCATTATACATGTCCATAACAAGTGTATGAACTTCCAAGCAAAAACTACAAATACATGTGACTAATCTTCATAAAGAAATGCCTTCTCTAGCAGTAACACCTTAATTTCAGGGCAAGGACCATCTCTCAACCAGGTTACAGTGAATGATAAACAGGCACAATTTTTACGAGGGAGTCTGCACCAGCTTCGGGTGAGTTGCAGCATAGATGGAAGAACTTACGTCAGTTTTCAAGTGGGAAAGAAGATGCTGTATGTCTGGTCGTAAGTTTTCGGATGCTCTTCCACAGAGAGACAAAATATCTGGTCTAGGTTTGCTGTTGGCCTGCACTGGCCCTCCCTGTCCTTCATAGTGTACAACATGATGGCTGAGGAACACAAATGGAGTAATAACGTATGAGAAGTTTATATGGTAAGGAAATGAACTAGTACCGTATTCCACAAGTTTGATTAAAGAACAGGAAATGATCTTACAGGAAGTCAATGAGATCTGCTATTTCTGACGCTTCAACCGGAGTTGATGGCTGTGAGTTCCTCCCAAACACATCCGCCATGATATTTAAAAGCAAAGACACAGTCTGACAGAAAAATTTGGAAAAAAATCATAATATCAATAATAACATAGAAAGATCAAACCGTATCTTAAAAAATTCAACAAAGCTACCACAAGCTGTATAGGGGAGCGAAGTGAGGTTGTTGTCCTTGCAATGGTAAACACACAAACACACCCCAACAAACAATCAACCCTGAAGAACCCTTGACCGCAGAAATGGGTGCCCATGACTAGAAATATAGAGAAATAATTTTCTTTTTTCCCTCACTTCAATCATTGTATTAATTTGCTTAGTGTTCTCAATTTGGTCAATTGGCATTTCCATTTTGTTTTCAGAATCATCTGGATTTCAAATTCTTCCTGAATATTTTTCCAAATCTGAAATTTGAAATAATGGATTTGTAATCAAGGAATATCCAAGGGTTTAAATTCTATCAAAGCCAAATCCAGATTCCCAAATGCAACCTAAATCTTATTTTTGAAATCAATACCAAACTCTAAAGAATGAATGGCTTAACCTAAGAGTGAAATCTTAGAAGAAAATCTAATATAGATGGAAAATGATGTAATTAAAATCTCATCAGAAAATCATCCACGACTCATCTTAGATTGCACTGAGTAACTGAGACACTACACTATAAGAGCGTCTCAAAAGTTAAAGGCTTTAGATTAGAAATATCTCACTTTCTAGTAGTGGTGCAAATGCTTCTTTAAAACTATATCACTACCTTATGTTAATGTGACTAATGACCGGCCTTGGGCTTGTTTAGGCTCAGCTCATTAACTAAATGAGCTTTAAATTTCTTGTTTGTTAGATAAATGAGCTTGAACAAAACCAATATTGAGCTGAGCTTGAGCTATTCTTGTTCAAATCTGTTTATATGCAGTAAAACATGGATTTATAATCGCATACCATTTCAAAGACTATGGGTCATTACTTGATGCCTACCAAGCACGAATATGAGTTTTAAATTTCTAGAATTGTACACACAATGACAGATTGGATCTGTATCTATCTACTCCAAGCTGAGAACTCTACATTGCAGTGGTTAGGGGTAAAGTATAAATCCCCTTGAACTATAAAAAAAAATTGCACATCGCCCCCCGTACTAAATTTTTAGTAGATGACCACTCTGAAGTATAAAATTTTTTGCAAGACACGCTCTTCCATTAAGTTATAGTCAAGAAATAAACAATCAAAGTAGCGGGACTTTTTGAAAATCCTAGTTTTTTACTTGTTTTGAAAATCCTAATTTACCCTTTGGATTAATTGAATAAACCCCTTAACCATAAGAAATTTGGAAGTTTTCCACTAGATAGGGGGTGTAACATGCAAATTTCTTATAATTTAAGGGGTTTTTGTGCACTAAATGTAAGGCCAATTTAATAATATTCAAGACACATTTAACAGTCGCCTAAGAAATGTAGTTTGTTGGTTTTGTTTGCAAACTTCCAATAGATTAGGAGGGATTAATTTTATTCCAAGGGGGCAATGTGCAAATTTTGTATAGTTTAGGGGTCTTTTCTGGAATTAACCTTAATGTTTTATGTGGATACTCCTTCCAACTTTATATCTCCGTTCATACAAAGTAACATGTGCATGTTAAAGCGTTGAAGATTTGGTGTTTCCAACAAGAGGTTGAAGGTGTGGTTACTCAAAGATGGAATTCTCCAGTCATGGGGACGACAGTGCGTCAACTGCAGCAAAAGCTTAGAGTAGTCAAACAGTGAAACCAAATGGGCAATAGCCCAGCCGGTACAAGCTCTCTCCCCAAAGGGGAAGGTTGGGTGTTCGAGCCAGTGGAGGCATGGGTGTGTGTTTCCTTAACCTTCCAAAAAGATAAAAAAAAATGGCAACAGTGAAGGATTGGAATAAGAAGAAAGGAAAGGTTTCTAATCAGGTACAGAAGCTAGAATGGGGTTGCAGCACATTCAAATGAAGCTTTTGAGAGATTCTACTAAACAGGTACGGAATTGGAAGAAAAGCTTTGGGCTTAAAAGTCTAGAATCAAGTGGCTGCAAGCGGGTGATAGATGTTCCTTTTATTTTTAACCCATGGTTCAACAGAGAAGGTGCCATCATGCCATTACCAAATTACAGAATTTGAATAGAGATATTGTTGAAGACCCTAAAGTTTTCAAGGAATGGTTGATTTGTTTTTATGAACATTTATACACTATAGATGCTACCGAACCTCTCAGTTGAAACCCAGAAGACAAGTTTCTTTTGCAGATGCTTCAAGTTTGGAAAGAGAGTTTAATGCAGTGGAGGTGAAGCAGGTGGTTAAAGCCTTTTCTCCATACAAAGGTCCTGGCCAAGATGGCTTTCCTGCAAGGTTTCTCCAAAGGTATTGAAATCTGGTAGGAGAAATAGTCACAGCTATATTGCAGTTTTTGTTTTTTAATTCATCTTCTCTTCCTATGGTGGTCAACTCAACATTTCTCACTCTCATTCCAAAGGTAAATTAGGGATATAAAATTGCAAATTACAGACCTCTCTCTTTCTAATTTCATCTATAAGCTAATAGCAACGATCCTACCAAACAGGCTTGGTAAAGTTCTTCATTCAGTTGGTATGGAGCAGTCTACATTTCTGAGAAGTAGAAGGATACAGGATAACATTTTGCTTGTTGCTGATCTTATTAAGGGTTTTGGCAGTAAAAGAGGGATATTGTTATGGCTTTGAAGGTGGACTTGAGAAAAGCTTATGACACAGTTGATTGGAAATTTCTTAGATCACTTCTTCAGTTGTATGGTTTCCTGATAAATGGATTACATGGGTGATGACTTATGTTAACCTTAGCACAAGTCAAAGCTATGACCCTCGCATAAAGATCAAGAGGAATAATATAATAGAAGAAATCCTTCTTCCTTCCTTTAGATACTCCCGTCGCGTCACCCTAAACAGACTTGCCAGTGATAAGCTGGAACCATTCCTAAACATATCTTGGAAAAGGACACTGAATGAATAGATGATCAATTGAATCATTTGCATCAAGGCATAAATGATAAATAAAAAGAGTGATGACGCCTCTCTTTCTCAGATTAAAAATAGATAGATGTTTATCATGAAAGAAGAGACAGCAGTATACTGAGACCCTAGGTCTACAACCATTCCAACATAGAGTAGACCAGTGCACCTTAAGCTTATGAGTTCTCCAATAGTTCCAAGCCCTTCTAAAAGTAAAACCCCCCTTATCCCACTCCAATTTATCATGACTAGAATAAATAGGAATAAAAAGGATTAAGTTGTTAAACTGCTGCAAAATTAAGGAAGAAGGTGCAAGTATCTGCCACCTTCCATTTCTAATCAATGAGCTGACTTATGCATTCTTTGGAAGATCCAGAGCCATGTAGATTCTATGAGAAAAAATCTGAATAAAGGTTTTATCATTGCACCATGGATCCAAAAATAGTTTCAACAGTAGAACAATTACCCAATTTATAAGATATATGCTCAGCTCGGAAATGTCTAGTTTCCAAAATAGATTCCCAAATCCTTGAATGAGAGGCAACTAGGACACAAGACCAAAAAGAATCTGGATATTTCCTCTTGAACCAAGCAACCCACAAGAAATCTTTAGATCTAAAAAAATCCCAAGCCAAACTTTGAAATAGAGACAACATTGATATTGTTATGACAAACGCAATTATCCCAAGTTGAATCAAGAATCAAGACAGAAATTAAACACGCCACACAAAGAACACAAAGATTTATACGTGGTTCGGCAACAGCCTACGTTAACGGTTGGGATCCGGCGAAAGTTTTCACTATGTGTAAAATCGGAGATTACAAGTTTTCAATCCCACTCTGATTCTGTACGAATATCACACCACTGCAAACCCTAAGCGCCCTTATATATTAGGCTACAAGAGATTAGGATCCACGACCCATGAGCAAAAAAGGGTTGTTGGGTCATAAGTTGGTCGCAACGCGACCAGGCACCAAATTCGGGCCAAAATATCACAGTTATCAGAAAATTTTCTGAGTCCTAAACCACACTCAGATTTAAGGGTAGCCACAACAACCCATCTAAGGCAATTAGTCTTCCTGTTGCCATCTGAAAAACCCCAAAGAAAGTCCCTTATTTTCTTCTCAATTGCAATTATAATAGAGGAAGGAAGATTGAATACAGAAAACTAATAGCAGACAAAAGTGTATAAAACAGTCCTAATCAATTCAAGCCTGCCAACGAAGGACAAATTCAAACCATTCCAAGAACATAGTCTAGAGTTAACTTTGTCCAACAAAGAAGAACAATCACGTTTCTTAGGAACTTGAGTACCAAGAAGGAGTCTGAGTAAGTAATAGGAATATTTCCTTGAGGACAACCAAACATTGCTTTAATTGTCATTTTATTTCTAACAGAGCTGGAAAAGAAAATCTGACTCTTTTCTTTAATAAACGACAAACCAGATAGGATAGCAAAATAATTCAAGGAAGAAGCAATAGCTCTGGCAGTTCTAATCCAAGCTTAATAACTATGCAATTCAGTTATCAAGGCTGGTATGAAGATCTCTTATGCTTTCAATGTTGCTGATTTATTCATAGTTGTGAAGGCAAATCTCTCTAATGCTAAGAATACTGAAGACATTTTCAAGAAGTTTCACGTCCATGTGTTAATAAGGATAAAAGCTTTGTCATTTTTTCCACAGCTGTTAGAAGGAGAAGAAGAATTCAAGCCATACGGCAGTTCAAAGTTGAACAATTTCCATTCAAATATCACCACGACTCCATCTCTGAAATGAAAGACAACAAAGTCAACGACTTCACCCCCTACATGGAAGTAAGTCGACCAAAATCTATCAAATCCTCACCAAGGACTCAAGACAACGACGATGATCCTCATGGACCAACCAACCCCAAAACAGTGCACAACACAACGGAAGGAAGAGACTCACTCCTTGTGAAGTCCCTAATACGAACCAGCACAAAATCATTGTGGAAACCCGCATATAGACTACGTGAGACCAAAGGAAACGAATGGGAAAGCCAAACCAGAAAGTCATGCATATGACAAGGAATGCA